ACACACATATATGCACACACATATACATACATACATATATATTCACTTAAGATACATATGTACAAAAAAAAAAAACAGTTGACATTGAGTTGATTGTGACTCATGGTGACCCTGCGTGTCAGAGTAGAATTGTGCTCCATATGGTTTTTATGGCTGATTTTTCAAAAGTAGATTGTCACGCCTTTCTTTCAAGGAGCGTCTGTGTAGGCTCAAATTTCCAACCTCTTTCAGTTAACAGCTGAGTGCATTAACCATTTGCACCACCCAGGGATATATATATAAATTGTAGTTACGTGCATTTGAGTCGATTCTAATTCATAGCAACCCTATCGGACAGAGTAGAACTGCTCTGTCGGGTTTTCCTAGGCTATAACCTTTATGGGAGCAGATGGCCTGGTCTTTTTTCCCTTGGGGCTGCTGGTGGGTTCCAACCGCCGACCTCTGGGTTCATAGCTGAGCACTTAACCATTGTGCCACCAGGGACATATGTAAACACAAATGTACACACACATACACCTAGAGCAGTTCCTGGCATGTGGTAAGTGCTACTTAAATATTAACTATTAAACTTTTATTATATCTTAACATTTCAGTATCTGACCTGCTAATGAGTAATACAAAATTGAATCATCTAATGGCTCCTTTTCCTGGTTTTCTTTAAAGGCTCAAAGTTGCAGCAAAATGTCATTTGTAAGAAGCTGAGTAAACACAGGATGAGAAGTCCTAAAACAAGGAGCAGGGTTAACAGACAGGATAATCACTTCCTGAATACATAAGAACCAACCGAACACAGAAATTATGGAACAACATCATTAACATCACACGCAGGTAAAATTTTGCCGAAGATCATTCAAAAGCAGCTGCAGCAGTGCACTAACAAGGAACTGCCAGAAATTCAGGCCTGATTCGGAAGAGGACATGGAACCAGGGATATCATTGCTGATGTCAGGTGGATCTTGGCTGAAAGCACAGAATACCAGAAAGATGTTCACCTGTGTTTTATTTACTATGCTAAGGCATTCGACTGTGTGGATCGTAACAATTATGGATAATATTGCGAAGAATGGGAATTCCAGAACACCTAATTGCACTCATGAGGAGCCTGTATGTAGATCAAGAGGCCATTGTTCCAACAGAACAAGAGGATGCTACGTTGTTTAAAGTCAGGAAAGGTGCGCGTCAGGGTTGCATCCTTTCACCATCCTTATTCAGTCTGTATACTGAGAAAACAATCCGAGAAGCCGGACTATACGAAGAAGAATGTATCATCAAGATTGGAGGAATACTCATTAACAATCTGCGTTATGCAGATGACACAACCTTGCTTGCCGAAAGTGAAGAGGACTTGAAGCACTTACTGATGAAGATTAAAGACTACAGCCTTCAGTATGGATTACACCTCAACATAAAGAAAATGAAAATCCTCACAACTGGACCAATAAGCAACATGATGATAAACAGACAAAAGACTGAAGTTGTCAAGGATTTCATTTTACTTGGATCCACAATCAACACCCATGGAAGCAGCAGTCAAGAAATCAAAAGACACATTGCATGGGGCAAATCTGCTACAAAAGACCTCTTTAAAGTGTTGAAAAGCAAAGATGTTACCCTGAAGACTAAGGCATGCCTGACCCAAGCCATGGTGTTTTCAATCCCATTATATGCATGTGAAAACTGGACAATGAATAAGAAAGACTGTCTTAGTTACCTAGTGCTGCTATAATAGAAATACCACAAGTGGATGGCTTTAACAAACAGAAATTTATTTTCTCACAGTCTAGTAGGCTAGAAGTCCAAATTCAGGGCATCAGCCCAGGGGAAGGCTTTCTCTCTCTGTTGACTCCGGAGGAAGGTCCTCATCATCATCAATTTTCCCTCGGACTAGGAGGTTCTCTGCGCAGGAACCTCAGGTCCAAAGGATGCACTCTGCTCCCGGCACTGTTTTCTTGGTGGTATGAGGTCCCCTACTCTCTGCTTGCTTCCCTTTCCTTGTATCTCTTGTAAGATAAAAGGTGGTACAGGCCACACCCCAGGGAAACTCCCTTTACATTGGATCAGGGATGTGACCTTAGTAAGGGTGTTACAATCCCACCCTAATCCTCTTTAACATAAAATTACAATCACAAAATGACGGACAACCACACAATACTGGGAATCATGGCCCAAATTGATACACACATTTTTGGGGGGACATAATTCAATCCATGACAAAGACTGAAGAATAATGACACCTTTGAATTGTGGTGTTGGCAAGGAATATTGACTACACCATGGACTGCCAAAAGAATGAATAAATCTGTCTTGGAAGAAGTACAACCAGAATGCTCCTTAGAAGCAAGGATAGCGAGACTATCTTACATACTTTAGACATGTTGTCAGGAGGGACCAGTTCCTGGAGAAGGACATCATGCTTGGTAGAGGGTCAGTGAAAAGGAGGAAGACTCTCAACAAGAAGGACTGACAGTGGCTGCAACAATGGGCTCAAGCATAACAACGATTGTGAGCATGGTGCAGGACTTGGCAGTGTTTTGTTCTGTGGTACATAGGGTTGCTTTGAGTTGGAACCGATTCGATGGCACCTAACGACAGCTCTGTGTGGTACTAGCAGAGGGACTGTTAATGGGCTTTTTTACAGAGATGATGGATGGCTCTTCCAGGCAGCGGGCCTGATGAGTTACCCTCATAGCTTTAGCAACCCCCTCTCATAGGCTATTCCTAGAACAGTAGCCTCGCAAAGAAGTATAATCTCATATAAATCACAACACTAGAATGTGAGCTTCATAAGGACAAAGGATTTGTCTGTTCGGTTCACTGCTGTGTCCCTGAGTCCAAGCAAGTGCCTGGCAAATAGTGGATACTCAGTAACTATTTCTTAATGGAAATAAATGAGTGAAAACCTTGACCTTTTCTTTAAATAAGCTTAAGAGTATAAACAAAGGGGGTGGGGGGAAACAAGCATGCTTTCCTACTTTCTGCCCGGTTTCTGTCCCTGAGAACGCTGGTAAGCTCGTAAGCAGGGCAGAGGAGCAGCAGGTGAAGGGTTTAAGTGCAAGTACATACATTTAGCAAGTATTTCAAAGGTCATGGATTTGGCTACATATTCCCAGGAGTGGGAGATGCAACTGGTGCCCACTGAACTCAGATGCAAGTGTCACATTTGACCTGCAAATATTTTGTCTAGCGTCAGCCTCACTTAGTTGAGCATCTATTCACACTTTCACCAGGATTTTCACAAATCTTTTACCTGTGACCAAGTGTCATAAAGAGCTTTTCTTAAGTGAAATCTCTGCAAGCATTTAGCTTACTTTTAAAAGTTTCTACTCAGTTTCAATTGGCTAAGATAATCAGTTTGATGTGATACACTGGACAGGCGGAGTTGATTATATAGCAAAAACTCTATAGACGTTGAGTCAATTCTGACTCGTAGCAATCCTATAAGACAGAGTAGAACTGCCCCACAGGGTTTCCAAAGAGTGACTGGTGGATTCAAACTGCTGACCTTTTGGTTAGCAGCCAAGCGCTTAACCATTGTGCCATAGCATTACTTATAATTTAGCTCACAACTTCGGATAGTGGATCAGAATAATATAACACTATTAGAACTATGCCTGACTTAATCAAGTCTCAATACATATTCATTTCTAGGCTCCTAGCAAATATTTTTTGAAAGTAGGGAAAAAAAAAAAAAAAAAACCCTCATAGGCAAGCTGATAATTTGAATAGGAAACTAATCATCTATGCACACGCTAGTTTTCCTAATTACCTTTGTAATGAAAACTGAGAAGGTATTAGTCATCCCTGGCTGAACCATACTCAATTCTATTCCATTTTTCTAACTATAATAAAAACAGCAAACAACATTAAAGTACATTATTAATTAATTAGACGTGATTACTTAAAATGGTTTACCTCACCTCATTTGACTTTTTGGAGCTTCAAGGCATTAATAATGAGTCACCAAAAAGCCATCAGCGACTAACGATGTGTATGACCACATCAGGCCGGACCCGAGAACTCCAAGTGGTCCAGAAGGAAAAAAGAGAAATGTTTTCTAGTGAGCCATGGCAGAAATATGCTGAAAACACACATTTGTATTCACAGAAAACAACTAGGCCTAATACAATCAGGGTGAACACTCAGGTTCATTTTATTCCAAGGTACTATTTCTACTCTTGAAGCTCCACTGTAGAAAAAGCTCCTTGGGTTAGGACACTATTGAAGGTGATAGAATTTCTCTTGGCCCTTGGGCATGTAAGGTAAACATTTTACATTATTGCACAGTGACAACAATTGACAGCCAGATAACGCAGGATCTGACCAACTTTAACACACTGGGTGTTTAAGGCTAACTGACATTTGAAAGCAATCATTTCTAGGATAGAGATCAAATATCTCAACACAGTGTCACCTGTTGAGTTGCTAGAAAAGCCTTCTTATTTAAAAACCTATTCATAGATGTGTTTTCACATTTGCCAGTTTCTTTTCACTTGTGTGCTAAACACAGAGGCACTTTAAGAGCTATTAACTATATTCAGGAGTAACAAGACACTGAATTTCAGCAATCACTGGTAAACATGACAAAGAATTAAAATGAAATTGGATTAAAAAGAAAACAAGCAAGTCATTTAATTAGAAATTTTCCCCAAATCTTGTAAAAACCACTGGTCTCTGATTTGAACAACTTTCTCTCTAAACAAAGATTAGTAACTGTCACCCATCTATGCCCAAATATGTGAATATCACAGCTTTTCGACCCTTAAGGTATAATGGTTTTGTTGTTTGGGTTTGTAAGGGTTTTAAAATATTGACAAATTAAGTACTCTGAGTTATATTTAGAGTAATACGTCGAAGTATCATATTATGCATAGGTTGCAAATAGTCAGAAAAACTAAAATGTCGAGTAAAACATGTTGGAAGAGTTTAGTAAAGCGTATAAAAATTAGGATTAAAAAAAAAACCCCACTCCATTTTAAGTGTGTAAAAATAAATCACATCCATTCGTGGGAATCCAGTGACTTTTTTTTTTGGTCTTAGTTAGTTGGTATATATTGCACCCGCTCCAACACGTTGGAAACTAGGTCCTGGTAGACACTAAGGAATATCCAACAAGGTAAATACATCAGGGTGATGAGGCCCATGAAATTGAGCGGGTAGTGAGAATAGTCCCAGGAACAAGCCCCGCACATGCGGAGTCCCAGGCCCCAGAACAACTCCCATGCGTAGATGAAGAGCACGTAGATGGGGACCCGCTTCCAGGTGCCCCAGCCGCGGCTGTACTGGAGGTAGAAGTAGAGCTTTTCCACCACCACACCGCAGCTGCCGTACATAAAGAAGGACCAGAGCGACGTGTGGCCGCTGGCTGCCCCGTCCCCCTGCCCCAGCACGTTGAAGAAGAATGTGAAGAATATCTCATCCAGAAAGCCGTGCATTCCGAAGAAGAGAAAGTGGAGCAGGTCCGGCAGCCGCTGGCTGGGGGCTCCCCCGGCGCCCCTGGGCCCGCGGGGTCGTCGCCGTCGGCCCCCCGCC